ATAACCTTGACTTCTCCGAAGAGGAAGAGGAAGGAATTGAGAACCCGGATGATCTGGATGAGGATTTTAAGAATAGGGAGCAAATGATAATGATAATGGCTGAGGCTGGTGTTGAAGCACTGAAACCCCTTGGTCACCAGTTTAAAGAGTTTTTCTTGTCGTGCAGATACCGCGGAATCTCGTGTGGGTAAGTTTAAAGTCTCCCATTAAATTTGCAAATGAAGAATAAGAAGAACTTTTCTTATTCAAATTGTTCAAAGTCACGTTTTGTCCGTACGGGTTCGTGGGACAAATCTGCCCAAAAAGCTACTATGACTAGTTTCTCTTTGCTCTCTTGTCTGGCTAAGGCTGAATTCTTAAAATTCAGTTCGAATGCATCACCTGAAAATGACAAAATGACCTTTGGAGCGTTATATTAGCTGTATTGTATCTCAAATTAACAGATTACCTCAAATTAACAAATTAACTCAAATTGACAAATTAAACAATTCACACTGCAGCAAATAAAAAGCGTATTTTCTTGATCTGCATTGTTATCGGAGTATTTGTTTTCTAGAAATTTCGCGAGTTCCTATTGGACAAGCTATTGGCATTATACGTACGGAAACTGTTATGTTTTTAACGCTGGTAAAGATAAATCAGGAAACAGTGCTACAGTGTTGAAGTCTAACAAGCCCGGCCCATCGCATGGTAAGATAGCTGTTTAACTGAATTTATATTGATTATTTTAAGGCAGAAAAACTCTGAGCTCTTATTCCTTTACTTACGCGTGAGTAAAATGCACTAGGGAGCATTTCTAAAGACTGGTCCGAGGGAAATCTCTAGAAACAGAGCCCAGACACGATCCCAGATGCATCATGACTGTAATTTCGCTAAGCAATGTGACCAAGAACGAACGACATTTCTCGGCCCTAATTGCACTGACCAGGAAGCCAAATGCCAGCAGACTCAAGATAACGATCACGCGAATTTTAAAAATATTGAATTAGTCATTATATCCAATTAAGCACATATAGTTATAACTGTCTATGGCATGAAAATAATCCGTTATAATCTGTACTGGAGAAGTTTACAATTTCATTTCCTAAAAAACGTCAATTGAAAAGAAGTTGACTTAAGAAACTACGTTTAAATGGCTTAAATGGAACAGCTTCTTCTTTCAGGACTAAACCTCGAGCTAAATATTGAGCAAGACGAATACATTGGAGCCTTCACAGAGGAAGCTGGGGTAAGGATAGACATATCGAATCAAGGAGAAATGTCGTTTCCTCGCGAGAAAGGACTCAGTGCAGCTCCAGGATTTGCCACGTCAATAGGAATACGGAAGGTGGGAAACTCTCATCTAAATTTGTAATCAAGTATTGTGATATCGATTATCTCAGAGAATTTGCAAGGAGGGCTCGTTTTCAGGCAAAACTCGTTCAACGAGTTTTCGCCCGCGGCTGCCTGGTGGATGGTGCGCGCGCTTGAGTTCAGTTCCAACAGCACAGGTCGTAGGAGTTTGGCTTGGTCATTGTGTTATGTTTCTTGAAAAAGGCACTTTACTTTATCTGTGCTTCCACCAAAGAGTATAAATTGGTATCTGCCGTCTTTAAGATAGGCTGGACGATAAATTGAGAGGGCTGGGGCAGGCGGGGGGGGAAGGTAAATTACGTTGGTTTTAAGACCTCCGGCGGTAAGGGCCACACGGCTTTTTGTGCTTACTCCTTTTTATCAGATTAATTATCAACCTGACCGTCGTTACCTGCTATTGAAGTCATAATTTCATGAAGAGTAACTTTTTAAAATTTTTCATTATAGGTAGAAATTCACAGAAAGGATCCATTCACCAAAAAACGATGCCAAAACAGCTCGAGTCTAAGCGACGCAAACCTCTACAAACATAACTTTCAAGTAAACTATTCAGCCACGGTGAGAAAAAAAAATAGAACATAGATAAGGTGGAACAGTAAATTTTTACTAAGTACAATAAACCCTTAAATTAGTACCTATGTGTGACGAAGACTGCGCTCTCACAAATCGTATTCCTCAGGGCGCATTCAGATTACTGAAAATATAGAAAATAACCATCGTGTATCGTACCCCTGTCAATTCGATTACATTTTGAATTCCCGTCACTTTTTGTATACAAAGCAGCCAGGGTAACAAAATGATGGCTGCTAGCTTGACGTCATCATCGTCGTCATTACCATTATCATCTTCATCAATCTCATTTTAATCATGGTCATTATCATTACTCATACCATCAAGTTTTTTAACCTCTCACCTCGCTAAAAGAGAACTTTGGTTGAAAAAAAAATTTAAGTACTTGAGCAGATCAACAGCAATCAGTTTAGCAAAAACAACATAAAACGACAACATACATTTCTGGCTGGCATGTCCTGATCTCAGACTTATTACAGCTTGGCAAAGTTTGATTCATGACCATCTATTCACTAATTTCGGATCATTCGTCCCACACAGGCATGCAAGGAATCATGTCTCGCTTATAATCAGAGAAAAGAATGCAAATGTATGGAGTACAGATTTCCTCTTCCTAATGATAAAACCCCAGTTTGCGACATCCTAAATAAAACAGTCGGTAAGTATCGATGAACTAAGCCTTTGAGACATTCACTTTGAGGCAGTAAGATAGAATGCCAAACTTAATGATTTCTCTAAGATTCTTCGGCTAGAGTCATGTGTCAGGCAAGATCAATCACGTTATCGTAAAGGCAAATTTGTGGCAGGCGGAGAGGGGAATCCTCTTTGAAGGTAATCATCTAGCCTTTGGGGAAAGATGTTTGACGAGGGTTTAACAACCTAACAATGTAAACAAACATTTTCATGGAAATATAACGTTATAGTTACAAAAGGATCTCAAAATTCCTCAAACTGGAATCAGTGGCGGAGATTGGAGCCATCTATAAGTTCTTAATTTAAGACAGTGATATCTCTGTGCATCCAAAATTTACAACAAGTGAGTTCTGGGATGTAGGAGGTATACATAGGTTACCAGAGAGAGGAATAGGAAGAAACCATTGATAAGAATGATAACGTAGTTTTTTTATAACGAGGTTAATGGCCGATTTGTTCAATTTTTTTGTCGTAGTTGACTGTCTCAGCAAAGTACAGAAGGCATTTAAACGAAATGAATTGAACTGTACATTGTCATGTCCACCACCCTGCAGGTAAGAGATGAGAGATTCCTAGACAAAGCGTCAGTCAATTTGTCAGTCAACCATTCTCTCAGTCAGAGTCAGTCAGTCGGTCAGTTCGTCAGCCAGAGTGTTAGTCAGTCATTAATTAAGGCAGTCAATCAGTCAGTTAGTCAGACAATCAGACACTAAGTCAGTTAGTCAGACAATCAGACACTAAGTCAGTCAGTCGGAGGGTCAGTTATTCAGTCACACAGTAAGTTAATCAATCCACAGTCTCTCCGTATGTCAGTCAGTTGGTCGGTGAGTCATACTCTCACTCACTGTCTGTCTGTCTGTTCGCCAGTTGCTCAGTCGCCAGTCAGTCATTCAGTCAGTCAGTCAGTCCATCGCGTGTTCAGTCTGTCTGTCAATTCGTCACTGGGTAAGCGATTGTGAAAGTAATCATAGGCGTATTCTTGCATGGTTTTTCGTAGGGAGAGTATATTTCAGCTCACATCATCATTCTCAGCCTGGCCTTCCAGTGGTTACAAGGTTTGTAAACAGTTCTTAAAATTCTATGACTAAGTGGAGATAATGTTCGTGTGACGTATACCTTCCAGTTTGGTAATTTGAGCTTATAGCGGCCACAATTGGAAGCGCCTGACACACTCCTTAAAAAATGTGTCTTTTTGAATATCTAAATTTTGTTTTGTCCTAATTTCTTCGGTTTCAGCCTTTCTATATTGACAAGCTCAACTCGCAGGACAAATCTCATAACCTCGATATTAATTCAAATTCAAGGTAATTACCCTCTTTTTTTATTTATTTACCAAAATTACTTTCAACCAAATTTAAACAGAGCATCTCTATTGGCCTGTGCTCAATTGTGTTCACAATGTAGAGTATTGGGGCAAAAAAATATATATAATATCGATCTTCCACTGCTTGTAACCACAGAGCATCGTATTCAAGAGGAAAGGAAAACAGTCGAGGAAAAATGGGATTTTTCGTTCTTTCCATCATCCATATCCAATTTTTCCTTGCATGTCTGCAGACATTTGTACTAAGAGAGTCTCATAAAAGATAAAAACAACACCGCCACACCGAATGAAACTAAGTGATGCACGTGCTAGAGCATAATTAGTACCATGGACTACATATAAGATTAACACATGGACTCCACAAATGATTTATTTCCAGTAATCTTCGCTCCAATGTTTTGAAGCTAAACATATTCTACGAGGAACTAAATTATGAAACCATTACAGAGGAAAGATCTTATGAGGTATGCTTACATTTCTTTGAGGATTTTGCACTAATACTGAACACGTAGTCATCAACATCTTTTCAAGCCAGTTTGCTGACCAGTGTCCTGTTTTATCCACAGCTGGCCAATTTTGTGTCTGATCTCGGAGGGTCCCTTGGTTTGTGGATTGGAATGTCTGTTCTATCGTTTGCGGAAGTCCTGGAATTGTTGCTATTGATCGGTTACGCGCTATTTAGGAAATTTCGAAGAAAGTTAAACGGAAAAATACGATCATCTTCATTTCATGGCAAAGGAAAAGGCGTTGTTTGAGAAGTCATCAAAGACGCTTGGTGGAATAACATAGTTATGAGTTAATGATAATTTAATAGCTGGATTAAATAGAGCAAAGTATATGATCAATCTAACAACTATTTAAAAGAAAACTTGTTTCAAGTGTCAGATTGCTAATAATTACCTAAGATGCCTTCCAGTTATTTATATATAAAAAAAGTAATTGTTAAATTATATGCAATCGTACGCGTTAGAGTAGAGTTTAATTAAAAGAGGAAAAGAACAACAACCAAAGTTACAATGATAACAACGAAAACCATAACAAGAAACGAAGAAATAAAAACGACGAGAACGGCACCGTTTGATTTGAAAAATAGAGGTCCTGCCAAACCCCCGCTATCCATCAAAACTCCTCTTCTCCTTTATCCATTTAGCAATTTTCTCATTCATAAATTTTTATTTTCGTCGTCAAATTAAAATACATTTACACTCAATTTTGTTATTCCTTTTTTCTTTCGCGTCGTTGATGGTCATTATTAATTTTTAAATAATTTTCCAACGATTGGTTCTTAAGATAGGCGGATTGTAAATAAATTAAAGCTTATTATTCCAGAGTAATATGGTCTTCTTTGTTGCCTAAAAATTGGAGAGGGACTGCTGGGTATATCACCACAGATAACAGCTAACCAAAGAGTTGAGTCTTAATTATCTATTATTTCTAAAATTTTCAATCACATTCTCCATCAATCAAGGCGCCCCACAGGTAGTCCTTGTTCTAGGCAGGTGTCAAACAAAATTTCAGTCAAACCCTCTGATTGTTGGATAAAGGTCCGGACATTGCCGGGCAGTCAGGTCGTCCCGAGGCTGGTTTAAGATTTTCCCAGTATTGCCTTCCAATTCTGTCAGAGAAAGAAATGACAGTGTAATCAAACAATTTAAGGCAAAACTCCGTTCGCTCCTTAATTAAAGGGGCTGTCGTTTGTCAGCCCGGTCGTCAAACTGCCTGCCCTCTCTTTCTCGTCTCCACGAGAAAAAAATAAACAAAACCAAAAAAACAAACAAACAAGAGCATCAGAGCGCAAATCCGAAGGTCTGAGGTTCGATTCCTCATGGGGCCTCAGAATTTTTTCCTTGTCCCACGCTCGTGACAAGACGAAAAAACATCTTTCTTAAAAAAAAAAAATTGTTTAGTGGAAATAAAGTAATAAGACTATACTTACTTATGGGAGGCACTGGAAGAATACTTTAACGCTTCTCCCCAAAATCCGTGCTTCGAACTTGCTGGTGGAAGCTTTCCTCGTTCATTTGACAGCTATAATATATATAACTTAAAATACGTTTCTTGTAATGTTTGCTCATGCCTTATTGAACTGTGTTTGCTTTTGTGGGGAAATCTGATGCCTTTTACGTCGAGACCGAGAGAAAAGCTACTAAATTAGCAGCAGAAAACGTTGTAACGTTGACTTCCCAATGTAGCAGCTCAAGATATCATGTTTTAGCTATTTCTCATATCAAGATATTAAACGCACCTCAAATAAAGCGCTATCCGGTTATTTTGTATGTCATATTGTGCTGAAGTACTAAAATGGCAACACTATCTTGCAATGAGTTTTGCATGTCCAAAACGAACTCAACGTGGTACATTACGTAGCATCTAATCGTACCTCTTCTGCAAGCGCCCGGATGTGATATGGCTCAAAACCACAGCATCCACCAATATAACGAATGCCTATGTCGTAAGCTGCGCGTGCGTACTTCTGCATGTCCCATCTCGTCATCGCACGACTTTCCATTGCTGCACAGAAATAACAAAAAAAAACCCATTAAATTTCATTAGAGAGTAAAAGTTTCAATGTCGTCCGCAACAAGCCAGGGAGAAAACGACGGGTAAGAATGATTTACATCTCTGAAAGCAAATATTACACAAATTGTCCAAATGGGTAGGATGCATTGAAACCATGTACACTGTGAAAGCAAATGAAAAACTGGTCAAGATCACCGTGACAAGTCATGGTAAATATTGTCAGCGTTCAAACACCTTATTAGAATTTCTTCTTACCGAAAGGATTCTCTGGTAACGAGAGAATTCCTCTTCTGTCAGCATCCGTGGTTTTATAAGCTACAGGCTGGACCATAAGCGGACGAAGCATTCCTGAGGCGTTCAAAGCATCTTTCATCATTTGCACAGTTTGCAAGCAGCTGTCCGGATCAAAAAGACAGTTTACGCCAATAATATCAGCGCCTTAAAGACAAAATTTTAAAGACAAGAATTAAGTTGAGGTAGTTAGGGCATTCAGAGTTGATAAATGACTCATTAGTTGCTTTCCTAACTGATTGATTGACCGACCGACCGACCGACCGACCGACCGACCGACCGACCGACCGACCGACCGACCAAGAAAGTGACCGGATGAATGACCGGCGACAGAGTGACTGACTTACTGACTGCCACACTTCCTATTATCTGGCCATGGCTCTCCCAATGACTGACAAACAGACTACCTAACTGACTGTCTAACTAAATGACTGTCTGACCAACTGACTGTCTGACTGACTGACTGACTGGCCGACTGTCTAATTGTCTGACTAACTGACTGCGACTGACTGACTGATGAATGGATGGATGATCCATGCATACCAACCTTACCCATTTTAGCAAGCCTGACAGCTGCTTCCCCAGGGTTAACTTTCCCTAGAACGTCCCCCTGGGGGCTAATGGGCATTGTAACGGCGACAGGTTTGCCGGTAGATTTCAAAGTTTCTGTCGCCCATTCAGCTTCATCAATGTTCATCAGATACTGAAAAGTCACAGATGGAAGCTACTAAATAAAGTAATGATCTTAAGTAAATTGATCAGATTCGATTTAAACTTTTGCTGAGGCTTAAGACATATTATTTGTGTCTGTACAGAAGATCTGAATCCGGGTTCCTTGATTCTGCTATGATTCTGGCCTTGTCTCCAAAAAATCAATACATTGGGGGAACCGGTAAAATTTCCTTTCAAAAACTGCAAACTAGTCAATGCATGCGAAGTCTGGCCAAAGTCCCGCGCAAAGTGTTGTAAAGCGCATTGGAGTATATTGATATGGAGAATGAGCTCTATTAATGTATCGTTATCATTATCAAGATTCTCCGAGACATATATCACACTGTGGCATTCCTATTCTATTCCCTCTAAATTCATCTGGTTCTTAGAGCGCGCACCAGCACTCGCAAGGGATGAGCTTCATTTTTTTTCGTTATTGATTTGATACATCTGGATGCACACGTGACCATTGATGGACACCTACCTCACCAATAAGAAAATCTACATCATTCTTGATAAGTACTTCAACTTGTTTCAAGTACTCCTCCTGAACTGCATGCTTACCACGCCCTTCTCGATAGCTCTGGGTGTAAGACACTCCTCCCGCCATCAGGGCGTCACCCTCGTTGGCGACTTCACGCGCGATCCTACACGCAGCTTGGTTGATGTCGTCAGCCTATATCAGAAAACAACAACTCAAATTAATCACTTGTAGGGGTTTTTTATTTCAGTTGCATTTTATAGATTGAAGAAAATACCGTAACATAGCCGAGAGGAATAGACCGCAAAGAACACAGGAAGGGCGAACAGTCTAATCCAAAGTGAGCTTGTAAAGAGTAACGCTGTGAGGCTGAAATTCTAATTTTGCTGGTTTCCTTTCTTCTATTCATCCGTAATTGTCTACTTTGACTAGTGTCAATGAAAATACTTGTTTCCGGGGAATACCTTAATCCTCACTCCGCGGCTGACGATGGATTCTTGTGTTCCATTAAATGTAAACGCTTGCATGACGTCTGCTCCAGCCCTAAGGAATTCTCTGTGAAGTTGTCGCACTAAAACAGCATTGCAGCATTAAAAGGATTTTCAGCAATTGCTATCAAATGAATTTTCTATTGAAATGTTCAAGCCTAAGGCTCTAAATTGTGTAATTTTACGCAAAAAAAAGACTTCCTCAAAAATATTCACAAGCCTCAGGTCTAATCAATGAAAACAAGTATCTAGAATAATCCGAGGTTTTACACTTAGGTGAAAAACACTGGAACAACCCTGGTGCCCACGTGATGACATCTCCCAACCCAACCCTACCCTACCGTACCGTAACCACTTCCCACTAAAAAATTGGGAAATTGCTTTGGGTTCCTAGCCACGCCCACGAAACTTTAGCAGAACCTTCCCCTAGGTGTGTCGCTATTCAGGAAACAATTTCATTCAAGGGACTTCGATATCGATCTCAACTGAGACTGAGCAATATTCCCTTGTAATTCTTTCACTTGTCCTTTCCGTTCTGAGAATGACCCTCATTGGTAACGAGGTTGTCCCCCGAGGGTTACATTATACGTCTAAGAGCCTCTTTTTACGAAACTATCCCTCGACCACACTCCTCAATCGACATGTACTCACCTGCCTCAGGATGCTCTACTGTACATTCAGGTGTGTATGGACCAGCTGTTACATAGCCTCGCCTTTCAAGAGCATAGAGGAATCCGCCATCACCGATCACGACTTCTCCTGCGTCAAGTCTCTCGAGAATTCCCCTTGGCTGATCAATTCAACAAGTTTCATTAATCAAGTAAATTAACAACGCAAAAAGCACAAAGTTAGAATTCCTTTTTTTTAAAAGAGAGGGAAAAAAATAAAGAATATTCTTTATTGCACTAAACGTCCTGGCTTTGTTGCACATGCACTCATGGAAAACCAGTAGAGACTTTTTGGAAGGCAAGCCCTCTAGCATTTGCTTGATGATTACAGCAGAAATATGACAAATATTCCCGTATTTTGTAAATAATTAGCAAATAAACTTATGAAAGAAAAGTGGCTGTTCTGATGTACAAGAAACATGTGAAAATATCTTCCTATCATAGATTTTTAAATATATCGCGAAAGGCTGCGATCAGTTATTTACCTGCTTAGTAGTTCCTGTTCCCACGGCCGCTAGATTTACGACTCATTTTACTTGACGTCAGAAAAAGTTCACTAGACAACCTGTGATCCCACAGGGCCGGTAATAAATCTTGATAATCCTTTTACCTCTGGCTTTTGACATTTGAATAGGAACTGAGGGGTAGTTCGTATTAAATTTATGCAAAATAAATAGAAACTTATTTCTGTCACGCACATAAGCTTTGCAACTAGTCATGCAAATTCCGCCAGAGTTATGCAATAAGAGCAGCCCTGAAATTCTCAACGTTCCTGAAGGAAGTATGAGCCGAGTAAAGCAGATTTCCATATTCTAGCTATGTGTCAGACAACTATCACAAATTATAAATAACTTCTTCAGCTAGCTTACTGCTAGCCTTCTAGCGGACAAATGCCCAGCAGACATAAATGTCCTCGGCCATCAGGGTTGAGAAAGCGTTTGTCGTTTAAAATCATCAAGATATTTTTTAGTCTTAGCTTTAAAATTTCCAACACAAGCCTAATACCACTTTTTTCTTCAGATGCTTAACTAAAACACCAGACGGTTGCACAATCTCTACGGTGTAACCGTGCTCATTTTAGTGTTTTCACGACAGTAAGGGAATGGACCCTCGGTGTTTTGAACATGTATTCTTAAAATAAACATTTAACGAGCAGAAGTTGAGACATGTTGCGTATTTAATCTCTTACCTTTTTTGTTGTGGACGCCATTTTAAGATGACTTCGCTGCTATTGTTGTCACGCAATGTCACGCTACTGACAACGTGCAAGGGGTGGACAGTTACGTGACGACAGCAAAATAAATTAATAATATTAATATGGAAGAAAAAGTCAATCGAAAATATATATAATATATAAATATATATATATAAATAACGCCTCAGTCAAAAGTGTCATGTCATATAATGCGTTGAGTCGCAAAATCCGAAGCGAAATCAACAAAAATATCTTATGAAGTTAACCAGCTGTGAACCCTCACAGAGTTTTGAATAACTCAGAGACTATGGCAGTGATTAAAATCAAATTTTATTTGCCTGTAATAAAAATATTTTTAAAGCATACATCACTTTCAAAAATTTTTGTTCTAGGACTATTGAGCCACACTTGCATTAATTATTATCATTTACATATTTGATCTCTAATTTGTAGTACTCTGAGAGAGTAGTTTCATCTGTGTATCGTCGAAAAGTTTGACCATGCAATCGTGATCAATTGGCCTAATGAGCAAAATATTGGGGTCATCCTTGCATGATTTTTTATCGTTATACATCAAAAACGTTGTACTAGAGATTGGCTGAACACCCAAATCGGCCGCTAGGATTCCGATATATGCATCATCAACTTTAAGCGGTTTCACAACATCAAACATTGGAATTAATTTCAAGACCAGATCCCTTGACAACACGTAGCCGCCTCCAGAAATGTAGTCTTTATAAGTATTCTCAGGATGATCTTCTTCTGAAACACCATAGAAACCATGACGAAGAACAGGGTTTCCATGCATTAAATGTCCAAAATAAAAGTCTGTATTTGCCGTGCCAGTTTGGGTGAGGAATTCGATGAGACCGCGAGTATTGACGAACACGTCATCATCTGTCTTAAGCAAGTATTTAAAGCTACAGTACTTTGCTGCCCATTCAAATCCAGACTCAATCTTAAACACTTTATTTGTAAACGTTTCAGGGTAGTCACCTTGAATTATGTCGCCAAATATCTGCGCTTCGCGCGAGATGCGATACGAAATGTCAACACTGCTAGCTTCGCCGATGAGAAACACCGTCTTCCATTTCCGGTGAAGTGCGTTATCCGTTCCCCAAGTATGTCGAATAACCATTCGATTTTTATTTGCTTCAGGAGAGCTAGAGACGATTATTATGAGGAACAAGTCCTGTAAACACTTTGTTCGTGTTAGAAGACGGGTACGATGTTTACGTACTTCAAGCCAAGAGTCGGAGAATGCATCATCGATTAAGTGACTGTCAACAGAGCCCGTTTTGTCTCGATCGCTTCGTCTGCGAAATGAAGTTCCCACCGTTGTGTGCGCAGACCCACGCTTGCCAATTTGACCTTCTTTCTGGAGGTTATACTTCATGGACTCTACATAATTTGTAAGTCCTTGACTTGTGAGCCAAAGTGAAATGCATAACATGGAAAGAGAAACAGTAATACATAGAAATAAACAAGAAGCCGCAGTCACAGTAAATGGACACGTGGAAGACTTCATCGTGTCGATACGTTTTGCTTTGAGTCCACGAAACAAACAGCAATCCTTCCTCCTTTTAAAGTTCCGTAAATGCAACTGAATTTCACCTCCACTTGACGGATGGCTTTTATGACAGCGCTTCGACGATCATACTGTCATCCGCACAACAATTCACTGAGTGAAATATTAACCACCAGCAATGATGAATATTTGTTATTGGGCATTAAACCAGGATTACGTGACAGATTCACGCAAAATGTAAAATACTGAAAACTCCGAGTTCATCGTAGAAGGGATCGTAACCTTGGCAGCCTCACTAACACTCTTTTGCTTTCTTTTACAGCTAATTACATAGAAACACCAGGAATTGTTAATTCAGATTTATCGCATTGTATTATGCTCGATATTGTTTTGTCTATTGCAGTCTCCTTTGTCATGGAGACTGTTAGTTTGAGTTGACTCAAGAGATTTGTCAACATTGTTGTTTTGCAACTATATTGCGCCCCTCCCTGAAACTCGTAGCACGTTTTTGTACTTTCCCACTCACAAAAATTCATGTCAGGTTTTCAAGAAATTTAATGGATTCATCTCAGTAAATCTACTTCGTTTTTACACGGACTACTTCGTTTTCTGGGAAATTTTAAAAAGTTTCGAGACGAAAAAGCTCATGAAATGCGAACCCATTTTTATCATAGCTTCTATTTTTAAGCTAGTTCAACAAAGCTGTCCTTTAATCTCAGACGGAAAATGTCCGAAATCAGGCAAAACAAACGACAGCGTCTGAAATAGGAGGACAGTGTGTCAATGAAGCGATGACGTCAGAAATGGGACAGAAGAATCCGAAAAGGAACGATGGCATCCGAAATTGGAGAGAAGCTTCGAAATGTCTCATGAAAGCGTCTGAGTTCGAACAATAGTTTCCGAAAAGAAGCGAAATAGGGCGAAAGCATCCGAAATCGGACTGAAGCATTCGAAATCACAAGGAACTTTCCGAAATCTGGTTTCGAAATTAGACGGAGATATCTAGCTTACCGTTCCAACAGACGATCTTTCGACGGCGACACGATTTTGTCTTTCTTTCTGGAAATCAATTCCTAGCTGATTTATCCACATCGTGTTTTCACTGGTTTTCGAGAAGACTATGGCTTTATCTTTCCACGTAAAGCTCGTATTTTCGGCATTTCGTGTGTGTTCTTCTAAGAATGGAAAGTTTTTTCTTTCTCAGCGGATTACTTGTTTGCTTTTGTTTAACCAAATACGCTCAGAAAATGGATGTTGGAACCTCTATGAAATCATCAGTGCGGTAGAAGTTAGATTCTTTCTTTATTAAGTGCCAGTAGTTTTTAACTCGACAAAAAACAACAGACAGGTTATTCAATAACTACAAGTGCCACACTGAAAATAATTTCAGGAAAACAAACTAAACAACTTCTGTGTCACTGAAGTTTTCGATGATCACTACCACGTGTTTGTTTTTTCGACGCCACATAGCCCAATAATTAGAAGTATAGATATTCACCATCGATCCTATCCAAAAAGACAAGAAAAATGGAAGTCCAGATGCGATTCCTGCAATTCCTAAACTCAGTGCGGCGTTGCATTCTGATTGTTTGCTGTAACGATTGAGAAGGAAGCCAATACCGGAAACTTGAACACACACCATCCCAAGAAACAAAACATTGAATATCAGCATGGCAATGTCGTTTGCTTGCATTGGAAGGCATCGCCACTGCAAACACAGAGAGCATGAGATGAAACGATATTTTACAAAGCAGCGAATGTAGTTTCTCTAATAATTCAAGGACAAGGGAAGGTAAAGTATGCACAATTTTGTGATATCTTGCAATCTCGACTCACATCTAACATCAACCGAAATGAAACAATCAGCAAAGACCAGTAAATGTCATTGTTATCATTAAGGCAATTCTGCACTACCCCAAGTAACCCAAATCAGTATATTTATATACTAAAATAGATGATAGCGTCGATAGCGCGCTCTGATTGGCTACTTAAATTTCGGGTACCATTGCTATTCACCTCCGAGCATTTGCGCGCGGGACTTGCACTCGGAAATATTACAAGTGTAAATCACCTTTTTGTGCTATATTATCTCACTGTTTTGGTATACACTAAAAATACTGTTCACCTGTGTCGGTGGCTAGCGATGGATACTTACATCGCTGCTTCGCCGCCTCCACTTCGGTGAATAGTTGTTAACTAGTCAAAATGGGATTTCTAATACGAATCGAAAGTAAAGGTCATACTGTAACCAACAAAGAACTTAATGAAACGCGACTCTAATTTCATTTTGCCTCGCATGCTGAAACGAATTCATTACGGGTCATTAATTTTGGTATTCAGTCTGGGAAATGTTTCGAGATTTGGTCACAAGAACGCTAAAAAATGGAATACTGTTTTTTATAAAATACCTTTCTGATAGGCTTATAAACTCTTCTTGTGCGAAAACGGTAGCGACAAATTGGACACGTTCGGTTGTGGGCTGAATTTAACCACAACTCCAAGCAGGATTTATGCACCTTTCCCATGGTTCCTTTACACCAGCAAACTTTTTGTAAAGGTTCTCGACCTTGGTCCTTTCCGCTAGTATTGTGGCAAATTCTACAAATCGGTTCACCTTCTCCCAACGAAATGGAGCTTAATGAGCATGATACTGGGAGTATCGCTGGACTGTGATTACCAGACGACATTGTGGCTACTTCGCGGTGTTATGTGAAGCGCACAAATCGTGCACTTGATGCAGCCAAGAACGTTACGTAACAATAGTTTAGTAACCATGACAGCCATAGACGAGCGCGCGCGCTTTGGAGGACGTACACGTTTGCAAAGATGACTGGATTATAATTTGCGAAACAGAAAATCTTTTTCACGGCTAAAACTAAGGGACCGACCATAATATAAAAAAAGTGATGGAGGAGAATTATGATTAAGTACGCAAAGGTGATTGTCAAAAGAAAACTTTCTACAAAGTCCAAAGAAGCCGAAACGAAAACAAAAACAAAAAAAACACGAACAGGAACAAAAATTAGAATAATCAATTAACACGAGGATAAAATATTCACTTGTCGATTTATTCCTCTACTCTGTAGTAAGTAACGAAGTAATTCATATAATATTTGAAATATTATTTCAAAGCGAAGGTCGAATTTCCATCCCCAGCTGACTCGTGGAGGACATTTATTTTGACACTTTAAGGCGCTTAGCGCCAACATCTGAAAGGAAAAAGAAAGTTGAGTATTTCAACATGTTTGGTGAACTGTGTGAGTATTACTATCAATATGGAATGGAGACCCATATCCATGGAATGAAGATGGATGCCCACAACCGAGTTTTGGAGCGAGAAAAGTGATGGAGCTCTAAAAAAATTTACAACCAGCACATTTCTGACTCAACAAGACAGCAGCGCCATTTGTAATTATTGAAACAGGGACCGTTCTCAGTCGGAGCTCTAAATTCCCACTCTGAACAAGTTACCCCGTCTGCAGTGCTATGATTTCTCGAGACTGTTGTATGCTGATTAATTATTTTCTAGCTTATCTGTGAGCCACGATAAACGAGTTTGCATGAAATTGTGTGATTTCGTAATATCAAGACAATTCTTTTGCTCGAAAGTTACTCATGGGATGGTGATCCTCTGGCTTGACAGTCATTTGTCATATAACTTGACTTCATGTAAATCGTTTTGGAAGCACAGACCTACCAGTCACATAGCAGACTTCGACATTAGCTCCAAGGGACTGTAAAACATCCAGCCAGATTAATTGCTTGGTAGAAAGCTTGTCCCCTGGACCCTTAACTTCAGAAATCTGACGTTAAGACAAAGGAAAAAAATAATCTCCGCTCACTTAGGGTAAGTTGGAGACAAGATGAACTTTACAGAATTTACAAAAATCACCACCATAGCTGTTATTCTGTAAGAAAGCGATTCGTCATTGTTTTGGTTTTGCTTTACTACGCTCTGTGATTGGTACAGAGATATAGCACCACCTTCTCAGCAAATCATATTCATGAGCTACAAACAAACATAACTAAGTGATTAAAGAGGGTAAGTTTCTAAAGAAACTGTGGAGCTGCATCGGTGGGAGAGTATAACAGGGTAATTTAGTGTTATCAACTGAGTTGATAACGTAAATCGGCCATCGTCTTGTTATGAGCGTGGGACAAAGAAAAAATTCTGAGTCCCCATAAGGAATCGAACCTCAGACCTTCGGATTCCGCGCTGCGATGCGTCATGACGCTATCGACATTGCTGATCCTATCAGTATGCAGGACGTGTGTCATATGAACTTCGTAATAGACCTAGCTCACCGTGGAGTTTCTGTAGCTCAGTGGTAGAGATGAATCCGAAGGTCTGAGGTTCGATTCCTCATTCATGGGGACTCAGAATTTTTTTTATTGATCCACGCTCGCGACAAGACGAAAGACATCTTTCTCTGTTATTGTCGCTGTTATTCGCAACATTCGTCACGCTTGAAATCGTTTTCGTGTCCTTATTGGGTATCCTGTGACGTTCTCCTTCGTTCACCCGAGCCGGTGTAATCAGGTTTTGTTTCTGGTCTTCCAATACTCAAATAAAAGCAGTTTATTAGAAAGACGAACTAAGTTACCATGTAATCAAGAGTGGATGAATTCCATACGACCAGATCAGGCATACCAGCGCGACTATAGCGGTATCCTTGAGCAAACCGAGTGAAGATCCCAGACATTATCTGACCACCCAGGCAGGCTACAAGTTGCTACAGAAAGAAAAACCACGAGTTACTGTGTATTTTTACAATGTTTATCGTCAAACATTTATGCCCTGGACCTGACGTAACGTTAGTTCAACTTGAAGGTATTCCCATTCACATATGTGACCAACCAACACCCAACAACAAATTAAACAACTAAAAAATTCTTAAAAAGGAATACACAAGTAATTTCACATGCGAAACTTCTCAAAACCACCCACTTACTTTTGCTTGCTCCACACTTGTGAATCGATCCCAGCTTATTCCTGAACAAACCTGCCCTTCGTAATCATTCCAAGCTTTGGACAGAATGTCCTGAAGTTTCTGTCACAAAATATTCATATATCGAAAAACTTGGTGTAAATAAATCTTTTGCCTTAAACTGACCATATTTGATTGACCACTTAACATAATAATCATTACGTTTTGTGTACATGTAGACAACACAAAGAAAGATTTCATGCATTATCAATCACATTTACCTCAACTGACGTTATTGAGATTTCCTCCAGCCTCTTGTCAATAATTTCTTTGCGACTTTCGTAAAATGCATCATAGCAGAAGTCAAGGGGAGCAGCCTCAAAAAAAAACCAAACAGATACTAATTAATCACTAATCAGAGCAAATAAAAACCTTGCAAATAATAATGTTAAAGGAATTGTTCCAGACTTTTCTTCCTGGTAAAAATATGGTGGTGAATATTACTAAAAGTGCTTTACACTGTACACAAAAAATGTCAGAAAATGACCACAGGACATTTTAAAGTCAGCAAGTTTCATACTTGGAATGGACTTCGAAAAACATCTGGAATTCCACTTGCAAATATGATGTCCCACATGTATAAGATGTAAAGTGATGAGAAAGTGGATCCTTCTCCATGGATTCCTTGGTCAAATCCCTTCTGGCGATAATATGACAAGGCATATTCCTCCACTGCACAGAAGGTTGTTGTACCATCAATTACTTGGCCATCTTGATCAATCTCAGGAGCAATGAAGACTCCAAGTTCTGCACATCTTGTCCCAGATATAGTGATCTGCAGGGATGAGTAAAAAGAAATACAGATAAACTATTCTACTGTTGAACAAGCCACCTCAAACTCAAGTCCATTTTATTTTTAAATATCAAAACCAATGACAAAATTAAAGTAACAACTAAGACTTACACTCTTAGATGAGTCTGGTTCTATTAACTCCAGGTCTCCATAATCTTCACATTTTTTCTTCTTCCCTTTAGTAAATGCTGGGGAAGAGAGGATGCGCTTGGCTCTCTGTATCAGGGCAAGACGACGCCCAAACCGAACATGTGGGTCTAGAAGGGCTTCCCGGATGACCTGCATAGCCTTTGAGTAAAACAGCAAAACTCTGATATTAGCCTTTGACCCCATCAAGTGACTAGCATCTACATGTAATTCTTCTCACAGTAAAACTGCTGAATCAAACATTATGAAAGGATTGTCAGGTCAGGGAGCTCTTGATTATTAAGCACATTCTCTTCATTAGTACCGTTAGAAATGTATAGAGAACAGTGTGGAGAATATAGGTACTGATATCAAAGTGTAAAGGGTCTCAAGGTAAGTCACAGATCAGCCTGGATAAATGAACAGGTGGCACATCCATGGATATGCAACCCTTAAATTTATATCATATATTAAAAACATTGTCTTTGGCCATAGTTCACTTTTCTTTCTTTAATCTTTCAAAACTTAAGAAAAAAATTAATGAGGACTCACCTTTTCAGGTTGTTTTAAGTGCTGATGCAAATTCAGTGCCAGTCTATCATACCACCGTCCACGCGAATCAAAGCAAAATATGTCTTGTTGAAGCAGACTTTCAAGTTGATTGACAGCCTCATCATACTTTCGCCATTTCTGTAACACTTCCACTCCATAATAACACATCTTAGTGATGGCCCACTCAGCAGTGAAGCATCGCAAGTGGCCTGGGAGGAGTGCAGCAGAGATTTCTGAACAATTTTTTAGCTTGGCCAGAATATCATCAAATTTCTTTGAAGCTTCTGGATAGTAAATATAGGCTTGTTCAAAGTTCTTATTTTCAAGTGCTACAAGCATCTCATACTTATGCTGATATGCTTCAGAGAATTGGATGAGGCTATCTCGAGAGTGAAAAACTGGTGTTGGTCTGTCAATCACATATGCTGGGTAGACAACTTTACCAATATTAGCAAGGTAGAGTGTTGACCTGAAAATCAGATGTACATGTACATTGTAGAGCATTGGAAAACAACAAGTAATCAAAATGAGCCACAACTGATAAATACTGGTGACATTCATGTATACTCAGGTTTGTGAGGCATGAAGATTTGTTATTTAAATAAGGCCCTGTATAGATCAGTTAGACCAGTTACAGTGAGTAAAAACTGTGAAATTTTTGTGTAATAAAATTGCAAAGCTTTTTCAAGCCCTCACCATTTTCTTCATGAATCTCAAAAACTGGTATCAGATAGTGAAAGATTCTTACAATTGCTGCGCCTGTCCATTGTTTGAGGAGTCTTCATCATCTGGGATAACATTCATAGTAAACAACAAAAGAAGTCTGCTGAACACATCTTTGGGATAAGCTGCCAGTCTCACACAACAACCAAGGGTTTGCTTAACCCTACAGAAAATAAATGTATGACAAAACAAAACTTCAAAAAAAGACTACGTATAGAGTTAACATACTTTGGCTTTTATTGCTGCATACCAGTACCTGTAATTTATCATGAGTGATTACCAATCAGATCATTGGACAGTCAAATAAAATGATGGACAGAAACACACTACTTGCTACTAAAAATTGATCACTTAGCCATCTCTACACCTCCTGGGCAAACTACACAAAAATGTAAATGTTCAAACTACTATTAAATGAATTCTCATTTGACAATCAAATTCTTACCTCTTCAAAACAACAGCTCTAAAACTTCCAAAGAGTGTCTTTTGGTTCTCAGCATGGTTAACAATCATTTCTATTGTGTCTTCCTTGGTTCCCCCCTTCTGGCCAACAGATTTTGATGAAATATGAAGAGTTTTGACCAAAAGTTTTAAGTCTGGAGCTGCTGAAAGATTTAATGCTTCCCGGAGATCTCTGAGATGACTTTCATCTTCTAAAAAACCTAAAAAGGCAAAAGGGGGATGGTAATTCTCTACATGTTTCTTTTGAACTTGTTATTTTATTTCAATTAATGGGACTGAAAAGAGCTTAACTCAGTAATTTTACAGAGTGGGTAACAATAGTGGATAACAGGACAAAGGGATCATACTTGTTCCCATGAATGAAAGTATCTATAAGTTACATGTAGGTGCCTGATTTGGACAGAGGTTTTCCTTAATAATTAACATTTTGCTGGAAAGGGTATTGAGTAAGTCAATGGACCCTACAGCATAACTGAGAGGTACTGTAGAAGGGAGCTAATTCAAATTGAGGCCAATGTCAACACTTTGAAGCCCCTTGGGGACAACTTTTACCATAAAAGCATACATGTACCCTGAGGTCCTGTGTTTGTTTGTCAGCCTCTCTTCCCACTCTAATCCCAATTGACACTTTTCTGCAACCCAGCCCCCCCCCCCCCCCCCATTCCACCCAGGCCTCATACTCCTGCCATTCACCATGTTATTCTGACTTCACAAAAACATTTAAAATAAGAGATTTAACCTTTCTCTGCAAGAGACTTTAAAATTGGTGTCAGATTGTTACTGATCCTCGGATATTCCAGTTTGCTGCACCTAAACCATCCATGTTTACGCTGGAAAAGACGGATATACAGCTTCTGCTCCTCTGAAGACATGACTTTGAAAGCATCAATTATACCATTATCTTCTTCATTGAACAACTGCCTGTCATCCTTGTTTGACAAGACATTGTTCACTACAAGCTTAAAATTAGCTAAATAGTATGGTTCATGGTCTTTGTCTTCTTTCTCCTTGGAATTTTCAGAAACATCTTCTGTTAAGTTTATGTTAGATGCTTGAACTTCATTTGGATCATTGCCATCATTGTGAATTGATTTTCCTTCCCTAGAAAGAGTTGCAAATGTATCACATGGTTCCTGACATGCAGTACCTTGATCACAATCACTACTGGATTCAATGCAGCTTTCTTCATCCATGGCAAAAGGACTTTGTTTCTTACTATCCATCTTCTGTGACATTTTCTTCAAGAGGATAAAATCATTTCTTTCATTTGCAGGCTTTAAGATAGAAGAAACACCCTCAAGGGCTAAATTTTCATCCCTTGATTCTGGACTTTTCACACAGGGTTTGTAACATTCTGACCTATTTTCTTTCCTGTCTGCATTCTGGTAACTTGGCTTTAGCACCTCTTTTGCTGAGTAGTCTGAACTGCATGGAGAACAACTGTGTGCTCCAGCAAGTTCATTAGCTGTACAATCTTCAGCTATAAGTAGAGCTAAGTGTAGTTTACAGTTGCTGTCTAAATGTTGGTTTATTTTGGAAAGAATTGCAAGTTTTCCACACAATGGACAAGAAACTGATTTTGGACTGCATGGTTTCAGAAACCACGTCGCTATTCTCTTATTTGCTGGGTTCCCATTATTGTTATCCATGCAATTAACTCCTGTTGTTTCTTTTGTTTTGCCTGATAACTTGATTTTTTTGTTGCTTTGAGAATCTTTTGCCTCAGCGTGGTTCTGCTTTGATTCAATAACTGGATTTTCATCTGGAGGAAAAACTACAATTTCAGAGTTTCCATCTCGGCCGCACAACTCACTCTTCATGTCTTCCACTCCACTGATTTTTGTCTTCTTTCTCCGGGAGAGAGACAGCCTCGTCCTTTTTCGATTCATGAAAAATAAATGGCTTAAATATCGTGACCACGTACACTACTTTATACAGTTGTATCACTTGGAATAAGTAGACGTGTCTAAGACAAGATTCGTGAGGCATTACACTTTGATGAGAAAGTTTGTCGGCTAAAAAGCTTGATATCCTCCAAAGAAGATGCCGAAAATTGCAGTAGAAATAAATAGAACAAAGTTCCCGCCTTCTCACTGCCTTCTGCCATTTTGAAATTTATGATAATAGGGCAGCGGTCGACACAATGAAGCAGAAACGAGGCCTGCTTGTAACCAGTTCCCAGGAGACCTCTCAAGGTAAAAACATGGCGGATAAACTGTTCGAGCAAGTTTGTGCACGGTTTTAGGGGTTTATCTTCCACTGCGATGGCGTACAGCTCTACTTCAAGAATTGGTGATACTGCCAGACACTCAGGAAAAAGAGAAGGTGGTAACGATGGGAAAGTATCGCCATCCACGGCATCACATATGGAACGCGAATCAGAGAGAAGAACCGATCAGTTCATGGCATCTGACAGCTTCTACCACAGAATGGAAGGGATGATAAAGAAGGGGGACGTCGAAGCAATTCTTAAGCAACAGAGGAAAACGTTAGTATTTTGGGTAAAATTTCCGCACAGCCCCATACTATTGTAAAACAAATCTGTTTTCCCAATGGCAATGTACTGTTTTTGTCATTGTTTTCTCTATCCAAGAACTGAATGCATAATGTAGGATGAGGCTGTGCGGAAATTTTACCGTATTTTGTATTATTGTTTTGAAAATTCCACGATCCTACAAATTTTATAAAATTCTGGCCGATGTTGTTGCTATTATTGTTTAAGTAAACGTGTGCGATTTCTTTACAGCTGTTAGACAGCTATTGTCAGTTGGGTGTTCGTTGTACATTAACACAGAAAATATTTGATGTACAAAATTCTGCTGCATTTTGGCCAGCAATTTGATATTTTCTATACAGTGGCATAAACATGTAGTAATGGAAAAATAAGAGCCTGGCTTTTTCTTCCTTGTGTGCGTGGTCTTTCACTTGTTGAAAATTAACACCATTGTTGTAATCTTAGATATTCCTATCACTGTTTGATAGGTTCTCAGACTTTGAGAAGATGAATGCCAAATTTAAACACTTTTGCTGTAATCTCTGATATTCCTATTACTGTTTGACAGGCTAGCAAACTTTGAGAAGACGAATGCCAAATTTGGAAAATTCAATGATTTGTCTGCAGCCAGATTCCTGAACTTAAACAATCAATTGAAGGGTCATACCAAGATGTTATTAGACATGAAAAAAGATTTGGATTCAATCTTTAGAAGAATAAGGTGAAAAATGTAGAGCCTTTGATTTGAACAAATTGATTTCATGTTATTAATGTCATGTTTAACTTTGCAAAATCCCTTTTCATTGTCCTTTATGTAACAGTTTGGTATTTTTATGTTGTTATTACACTACACTTGATGTAATTCTGTGCTCTTGAGAAATGAGTCATATCCTGAAATGAGTTTCTGATAACACAGTCAAAGATAAATTATTGATTGCTTCGTGATTGTTTTTTTTTTCTATTAGAACATTAAAGACTAAACTGACAAAGCAGTATGGATCTGCTTTTGAAGGTAAGTACTGAAGCTTCTCCCAGCTCATTACCCAAAGTCTACGCTTGTAACATATGATGACATGAATATTTGCCTTTACTCTTTGCACCCTTATATCAGAAGCATATTCTCTTATCACATGGTATTAACAAAGAGAATTTGTCAAACAATCAAGAACCTCTTAAGTTAGTGTTCATTTCCTTATTCAAAGCACTTTATGTTTGATTCAGAGGTGAAACTATAAAAGCTAAGTTTTTTTGTTTGTCTCACTATGTAGTCACGTGTGATGTAGATTGTGACATTTCAACTGCACACTGCTAGTCTTCTTAAGGCAATGAGGTTGACTGGTCATGCGTGATCTTATAAAGCATGAAGCTCTGCTGTGATTAGTTGTTTTTCAACAGCTCTGATTTTTGAAAAAAACCAACTAATCACAGCAGAGCATCATGCTTTATAAGATCACACATGACCAGTCGACCTCATCACCTTAAGAAGACTAGCAGTATGCAGTCGAAATGTCGCAATCTACATCGCACGTGAATACATCATGAGACAAACAAAAAAACTTAGCTTTTATTGTTAATCGCCGCAATGAATAACCACAACCTTTTTTTATGAAATTAGAGGTGAAACTGTTAGGAGAAATTTAGTGACAATCACTCTTTGGGTTAAAGGGTCAAGATACAAATCATTACAACATTCTCCAAAGCGTTTAACTGCTCAACTGGAAGACCAGAACACTGTTGTGGTTTTAAAGGAAAACACTAGGGTTTTATCATTTGGAAATTGGAGTCTTTGTATGCTATGACTGCCATGCTTCGTAATTTCTCATTACCATTAATCAAGGGTTGTTTTATTTCCTCCATTTGTCAGCTGTCTCAGCTGGTATACAAAAACTGGAGGAAGAACTTGGTGCTAGTATTGAGAATGAAGATGCTTCTTCAGTTCACACATTGACAGAAAGCCAGGAGTTTAAATCAGACAATCAGCCCTCAAACCAAGAACAGGCATCTGGAGAAAAAAATATTCACCAAAGTGCTGAAGAAGGCACATGTCAAGGTGGCATAAGTCAATCAATGTCCTATAAACTTCTGGGAGAGGAAAGCATTAAAGACCAATGTACTGATGATAAATCAGTTAGAAACTCAATTCTGCCTGTGGCATCTATAAATGCAGAGGCAAAGAGTAGTCAGGAAAATTGTCCTGGATTAAAAGATAAGACAGTTGATACAGAGAGGACAGTCACTGAAACACCTTATAGTCAGAGTGGGTTGTTTGGAAGAGCATTAGGTGCTCAAGAATTCAAAGAAAGTAATGCAGGAGGCACAGTGGACTTGCCTGATTTGACGGGGGCAAAAGACACCATTGACTTTGAAGTTAAAGGGAACAAGGATACAGGCGCAATAAGTAAGAGTCTGAATTTAAGCAGTAGAACAGAGAAACCAGACATAAGTGACACTGATAAGACACTAGACACAAGTAGGGTAACCAAGAAAGGAGATACATGAGAGTTAACAAGGAATATAGACCCTGGTGAAGACTTTATTTGACATTGTACAAAGTGCAGACGACAATATGGCTTGCTACAATGGTGGATACATTCATTATTGGTGCTGCACACTGAATCATGCTGTAGTTCTGTAGAATTTGACGGTAGTAGCCCCAAATAATCTTCCTATAGGGAAATCCAACATCCCTTTTTTTTATTCATCCAGAAAGGGATATAAAGAAGAATATTGCATTTGGATACTTGATTGCCTCTAAAAAACAAAAAATTAAGTCTTGATTCATTAAATGTAACAATTTATGTTCCTCAACGTGATGCAACTGCATTAAAGAAAATACCACGGTCTCTTTTCGTAATAAATATGATGAACTGAAGCCTTGTGAGACGTTTTTTTTTGGGGGGCGTTTAGTTAAAGTAAAAATGACATCGGTCTTGAAGGCTTGAGCGTAGGGCAGGCTGAGTTTCTTAGTAAAATGATTTCCTTTTTCGAGCAGTAAAACTTCCACTAAAATACTCATAAACAATAAGAGGAAAGAAATATACCACGGGAAACCAATCATTGAGAATTGAAATTCGTAATAAAGTGCACGAGCGCGGGAAAACACGAGTGAACGAGTTGTAGTTGGTTTTGGCCAACATGTAATTGTTTGAGAAGGTTTTCTAATCCTGTTATAGGGGCGCTGTTGAGAAAAAGCCTTGCGGTTGGTGCGGATTTTGACACTCGACTTTAGATTTCAGGGCTTGCTTATCCCGGTTTCAGTGGCAAGAAACAGCTGGTGGCCTAAGGCTTGTTGTACGCACTCTATCGAATTATTATAACTTCCAACCAATCCGAATTCATTTGGATTTAAACAAGTTGACGTTTTCGCCTTGGGGAAATTTGAAGCATGTGTCCATTTGATAGAAATTTTACCTACGTACGGCTTTTCATCTTAGGCCTTCGCGGTCAATCCATCTCGGGCGGGACGTAACCGCGGGCTAAACAACACGAAAGACCACGCTAAATGTAAAGGCCTGGGAACCAGACAAGCAGGAAGCTAATGAAGTATCGAATAAATGCGATCCAGGAATTTTATCACTGTCGAGCACATGAAAGTCGAAATGGGTTTTCAGTTTTGGATCTCATTTGCATAAATATCTCCAATGATTGCATGGACGTCGAAGCCTCAGGCTATATTTATTCATGGCCGACATAAATTCTATGGTTTGCAAATTAAACCGCCGACACATTGGGCTATCGGCACTTTTAGCAGTCATTAAAATCTGTTTTTTTTCATCTTTATTCATGATTACCTCATCAATATTTTAGTAAAATAAGTTAAAGTCTCTTTCTCCCTTGAATAAACACTTCAATTTAAAATTCGAAAAAATTATTTACGATGCCTATTAGGAGAGTTTTTTAAATGCTATCAGCATCCTGAAATTCGTAGCCAGAAACGATTTGTCGCAACAGATCGGCTGGTAAATTTGTGGTAAAACAATTTTAATATCTTAAACGAACGGCGAATATTGCACAATTTATCAATCTTTGTCGGTCCCTCAGTTCCCCTCAAGAAGCAATATACTCATTGAAATTCCGTCCTATAGGGAACGTGAAGCTAATTTTACTTATTACTCGAGGTTATATCTGAAACTAAAAGTGGAACCTGACCATTATCAGATTGAAGATTTTTTGAAAGAAAGTAAAAGCTTTCGCCAGCCATAGTTTTTAAGATTGTTTTTGTTTTGCAAACATCCGTTGTACATATATTTTTCCATCCAGATCATTGAAATCCGTCATAACGCTGCAGGCAATAGAGATTAAAGATTGCAGCATATTGTTCGTCAGCAGTTTTGGCGTCTTTAAGGCTAAAATCAAGTGACCAAAGTTTTTGTTTATGACATTTGAAAAAGGAAGAACAATTAGCAACTTCGAGTTTTCAAGCCACGATCACAGCTCGGTATCCAAAACGTCCTCTGCAATGTCTTCCCTTGTAGTGAATTGCACGCCCTGTTGGTTCCTTGAATCTTTTCTAAACGTTTTCAGTTCCGACGATGGCGTCAAAACTCCTGTCATGTTATTTCCTCTGTCTTTACGTTCCATCTTAGCTCTTCCCCTCCTTAAAGAGCACATACCTAGCGCTTGTCTGAACTCAGGAATCCTCAATACATATACAACTGGATTGATAAATGCGTTGGAATAATTGATAACATTTACCATGAAATATATTTCTAATGATATCGAAGTGAAGCTAGTTAACATCATCCAAATGTTCGTAAAAACTAAAGGTAGCCACGAAAATAAAGAAATAATTGATACAAAAAGTAAAGTCTTTGTCAAGCGTTTGTTGGGCGCTGATTTGTTCCGCTGCGAAGCGAGAATTCCCCGTCGAAGTTTCCTCCAGATGCATAGGTTACCGGAGCAGATGACAAAAGTTAAAATCAAGATATACGGCGCCCAAAGAAATATTGAATATTTGGGAGTTGAAACTGAGAGCCAAAGTCCACTCAAGAGCCCAGAAATAACAAAAGCTAAGATCCAAGCAAGGATTACAGCAATACGATGTGCCCGCATTAATGTTCGGTGCTTAAGAGGCCAGTACACTGCGTAAAATCTTTCACAAGATATGAAAGCTGCAGAAATTATGGAAGCCTGGGTAAACGTGTTGTCAATAAACGTGTAGTACCCAGATGAATGGATTTCCTCCCATTGATTCGTCCAAAGCTGGAAATAATCCCCAACAAAATAAATGTAAATGGGTAAACACAATATTCCTACCATAAAGTCAGCAAACGCCATGTTCATGACTAGGAATAAACTCTTTTTACGAAGTTTCTTGTTGACTGCAAAGAGAAAAAGGGTGAGAGAGTTTCCTGCAACACTGAAAACGGATGTCAGAATGAAAGCACTGCACAGTGCAATGCCCTCTGCCTTGGAAGGAGATATCTTTGAACTAGTGTTGAGTGCTGAGCACGATGTATTGTTCACCATTTTATGCAGGTTTCTACTAAACGAAATGCTGCAAAACTATTTCTGGATATACCGCTGGTCTACGGGCTGATGGCAAATCTAGAGCAACATGGCCGTATTTGGGCGTTTTTAGCAGGTTTTTCAGTTTGAATTGCTCGAATATTTTCAGCTGGCTTTTTTCCTATGGCTGCTCAGAGTGCGGTTGGCTTAATTATCATGTTTCCGGCGAAATTATTAAGTAAAATGCGATTAGCAAACGCAGAAGTCATATCAAGGATTGGTTTGACACAATTGCAATTTAAGAAGGGAACTCTCTTATCTGCAACCAAAAATGTCCGACAGCAAAAACCACAATGAGGTTTTTTTTGGATAAAGTCATTAAAAAATACAATGTCTATTTGATTTTGGCAGAGTACAACAGATCTCTTGAGATTAAACTAATTAAATTTTACGAGGTGTTTTATTGTATTGTTCGCAGTCTGAGCGTAAGACGCTTAAATCCTTCTTTAAATAGAAAAAAAAATCATCACATTCTTAAGTTTACGCTGAGTGTGGCGAAATTTTGAAATGTATCTTCCTGTATTTTCTAAAACTCGCGAGAAATAAAGAGACACTTGGATGGTCTAATGCCTTATGAATAAGTGATGAATTTCGCAAAGAGAATACGATTGTTACGAAACCTCAAATCGACGTACAGCACTGAAACCGGTTGATATCGATCTTGTCTGACGTTCAATTTGCAGTTAAATATAGTTTTCAATGTTTATGACTAGACTTCGATGAAAGATTGTGTTTTATGTCAGTACGCAGAGTCATTGACCGAAAAGCACGATCCGGTAATATCTTGTTTCTAGAGTCTTCGTTTTCCTTGTCCAGCGGAACGCTTGGCGGAGGGCCTTGTCAAATCCAAAATATTTGTTAATAAAATGACTGGCTGGTGAAAACAAACAGGAAAATCTGAAAAAGCGCTAACATACGTTTTAATGCTAAGAAGCCTCTTCATTAGGAGGGCTGACCAGAGGCGTCAAACGGGTTTGCACCCATCGCTTTTTAAATTCACACAAACCCTCCAGTCACGTAAGCTAAAAGTAGCGCAGATCTGTGGAAGATTTAGTTGGGTCAAAAGACTAGAAACTGGTTGAGTCAGAATTGTCGCATGCGTAGTAATGTGAAATGAACGAGCATCAGTTTCTGTTAATGAGAGTAAAATTCATCGAGAAAGATCTTGTCGCCAAAAAATGTGATTATTTGCAACATGGAAAATTGTTAATTTTAAAAACATAATTACTTTCATCCAATTTGCGACAGTAAACGCCGTGGTAGACTTTAATTGCAAAAAGTTTACTTTTAATGACAGAGATTTTAGTTAAACGAGTCTTATCAAATCCTCGGTTTTCAGTTCATCGTTATTCTTTTATATTATTTTTCGTTACATCCAGTTTTATAAAGAATTTCTTACATTTCATGTATGGCTAAAGCTTTTATTCACCTTTTTTCAGAAATAATTTTAAACCCACATCGATTCTACCATTTGTTCTACTAGCGTCGCTTCGAGTGTTAACAAATTTATCTTCAATTTACAAACAGGCGGCTTGAAAAAAATTATAAAAAAGCAGCTGCAAAAATAAAGTTGCTAAAAACTCTTGACATACAAATAAGCTCTCAGCTTTAATTTGAAAGCTATCTCAGTGAGGGGTCATGCTAAATTGATCAACTTTCGGGAAATAAAAAAAACATTCGCTGTAATCAGTAAATTGTGCATCACTGGTCCTCCATGTATCCGTCCCGATCCATCCACTACAGCGTTGCTCTCTTTGCTCTCTCAGTATCATACGATTATCTTTACATAAAATTTCAGGATGAACAATATTTCCCTTGGTAATTTTCACATGAAAAGTAACCAACCAAATTTATCGATGAATGGTCACTTCAGGGCAGAGGGAATCGCCTGGAGCACTGCCTTTATAGTCACCTTTGTCTTAGTAGTCTCAGGAAACATTCTTACAATTGTTCTCTTTGTTATGAACAAGAACATTCGCAAGAAAAGTCTTTTTTTGGTCATCAATATGGCATATGCTGATCTGCTTGTAGGAGCTGTGAGTTTGCCTATTTTCATTTACGATGTGGGCATCTATTTCCGGTTGTGGACGGACGGGACTTGGGGACTGTGGAGCAACAGGCCGTTAACTGTTTCCTTCATGATCGTTGATACAGTCTTCTCACAAGCCTCACTTATTTCCGCAGCCTTCATATCGTGTGAGAGATTTTACGCAATATACTGGCCGTTTAAGTATCGGACATTATCGGCGCGAGTATACCATATTGTTATTTTTACAGCATGGATGCTCGCTCTCCTTATCTCTGCACTATGGACAGGATCAAATATTCTATTTTCGTCCAAACACACGATGTTAATTTGGGGGCCATATACACTGGTTCTCACGTTAACTACTTGTGGCTGTAACATTTGTATTTGGAAAAAGTTTCAAAGGGGATGTGTCGCCGTTTCACATCGGCAAAACAGAGACTTACAAAACAAGCGCTTAACAAAGACATTGTTATTTGTATCTGGTCTTACTTTGCTGGCTTGGTTGCCTTTAGTTATATTAAACTTCTTGAGGTACGTCTGGTTATTTCCTGTGCAGCAGAAATTCTACCTCGTGGTAAACCTTTTCAACTACTTCAACTCTTTTGTCAATCCAGTGGTCTACGTACTGAGAATTGCAGAGTTTCGACACGCGATGGCTCGCTTTTGTATCTGCAGGGAAAGAAATTACAGGCAGCACGCAAACGATTTAATAAGGAGTGCGGATTTGCACTCGGCAGCTACCTTTATTCACGAATTGGCGTTTGAACAAGAAGTAATCGATACGCAGTTATAACTGATGTCCCGGCATCTTAAGTTGATCAGCGGCATTTTCTTTGGTTTCAATAACACCTGCTTTATAAAGTCGGAAGAGGAGGGCTGAATTGAAAAAAAAAAAAAAAAGAAGGTTAACGAAAATACTACCAACCGAAAGATGATTTTCAAGGATTTATTTAAATATCACTGTTGCTTTAGTTGTTGATTTCTTTACTGACAATGATTACAAAAAACTCGCACTGATAAATGAAGCGAGTTCATGTGATTATCTGGCTGCAATGAGGCCTGTAGAGTTACTTAACTTATGCTGTGTTAGATGTAATTATCCAAAATTACACACGAGTACTTAGAATTGTGACTAATTAAGACTTGGTGTCCTCATTTCCCTATCAGTAGTCCTTAAGTCACTCGAAGCCGGCGTAAAACGTTCCGCTTTTGACCGCTTTGTAGGCTTAGTCGGCACTGCGATCTCAGAATTTAACAGGGGTTTAGTATATTAACATTAATTAAAAGTGTTGGATATTGTGCAACGCCTATTGGCTAGTAAAGCTGAGAAATATTAACCCTTTTTTGACTTAATCCTTGTTATAACCTGTTAAACATTGCTGCGGCGACAGGTGTTGGTTCAATGTATTCGTAACGCTCTGTATGAAATGAAAACAACAGTTTATTGTCAGGTAAAGAAGAAGGAAAACAAACTTGCAAAAATGAACAACACATTGGCAGCTGACACGGACCTTTTGAGGACTACTTGTGGTTCTTCAGCGATTGATAGCTCTAGGATAGTAGGTATTGCCTTGTGTGTTGCCTTGGTATCTGTTTGTATCCTCATCGTGCTTGGAAACTTAATGACTATCGTTCTCTTTGCGTTCAACAAAAGACTGCACAAGAAGACTTTCTTTCTTGTCATCAATATGGCTTTTGCGGACTTGATGTTAGGAGGTGTGACTTTACCTGTATATACTTATTTAGTAGGAGGCAATTTTCATCTTTGGTCGGAACATGCAGGAGAATTGTGGAAAAATGAGTCTTTCTCTAATTTACATATAATCGTGGATACAGTTTTCTCTCAGGCTTCACTTATTTCCGCCGTTATTATATCCTGTGAGAGATTTTACGCCATATATAGACCCTTAAAACATAGAGCTCTTTCGTCCATAGCCTACCGAGTTACCATTTTTATGGTGTGGATCCTCGCTGCTATCATATCTGCGGTACAATGGACTGGATTAAGTAAACTGATCTCGTACAAACATGCGTTTTATATTTGGACACCATACATATTGATGCTTACCTTAATTGTATGTGGCTGCAATTTCAGCATTTGGCGAAAGTTCCAGCGTGGAGGTGTTGCTTCGCGGAATCAACACAGGCACTCCCTAAACAAAAGATTAACAAAGACACTGCTGTTTGTATCAGCGTTTGCTTTGATGTCGTGGTTGCCTTTAATCATTACCAATTTTTTAATCGTTGTGGGTCATGTCCCAGTGACAAGAAAGGCCTATCACGTAGTAAACATTTTGAATTATTCAAATTCTTTTGTCAATCCAGTTGTATATGCATTTCGAATTCCTGAGTTTCGTCTAAGGCTGTTTATGTGCTCTTTCAGAAAACAAGTGACAAGAAATAACAATGAGGCAGTGAAATAACGAGAATGCCGCTGTGATGCATATGGCTGACAGAAGTGGTCATGGTCATCTAAAACTTATATGCGTTCACGCAGAACTGATAAAAAGCTGTACCTGGAACATTGCTACCTTAAACTAACGAATTCTTCAAGTTTTGTATTTTCCTTTGAAAGAGTAATTGTAAGGTCTTTTTAGATCACATAGTCCATGCTTTTCCAAAAATAGAGAGGAATCTCATCTGAGTCAGAATGTAAATCTCGGCATGCCAAGGACACACGTGCAATAAACGTATGAAATCTCCCTTGAGAAGGCTTTCTAAGTTCGGAAAGGAGGGAGCGACAGAAAATGGCGATTCTGAACAACGAAGATCCATTCAAGTAACGTATGAGGATTCCTAATTTCCCACCAAACATGCAAAATTTGAACAGTTGGTTACTCAACGGCAGAAAAAAAGCTATCCAAATTGAACTGGGAATGACAGATGCGTGAACTGTTCAGACAATAAAGACTTCCTGTGGGTCGGGAGAGTGGACTGGCCTAAACTTGGGAGGTCCAAAGGCCTAATCACACGGCTAACGTTTCGTTTCCCATCTTCTCCCTTTCGAGAAATACTTTTATAAAAATAATCAAAGATAGCCTGAGTTCAAGAAATAGCTTTAACCATGAGTGTATGCGATATAGAAGTTAAAACGGGTCCTATTTGAAATAAAGCTTACCTGCGTAACCTGCTATTAAAAAAACTAATTATGACAATTGTTCAACCGCTATTGCAAAGCTGGTTTGAATGTTGTGTTTTTTTTTTCAGCTTTTAAATTAGAATATGTTAAGCGTAAAGATTCAGTGCCGCAAACTTTCCGCAGGGTCTTCTTTCAGGCCGTTTAATTAACAAATTCGCCTGTGCTAGCAATAATGCCTGCTACGTTAATGAGACCACTCGCCATATTTTTACAATGCTTGTCATAGCTTATGCTAATACTTTTCAAAATCTTTCACGATTTCAGATTCAACCGCCTCGATGTTTCAAATTAAGATAAAACTGGCCATGTATATAGAATGGGAGAATCTGACTCTGAAGTATTAGTTAAAACACTTGGAGTTACCTCCTTCCTTTTAGATTACTCTTATTTTGTTATGCATTTGGAATTATCATTTAATTAATTTTTTTATTTCTATTGTTATTGGTTTTTTTTTTTGGATTACCTCAAAATACCATTATTGCCTTCCCTTGCTTCCATTACACTCTATTCAAATAGATTTAATTTTTTTTTACCTTCGTACACTACTTTTTTTTCTAAAATTATTGCTCCGTCGGCGGCATTTAGGAAACGAATCATTTTATGAGGATTCGATTAAACTGTTCGACCACGTCTAAACAAAATATGGTTTGATAAGAGTAATTTCCTTTCTATACCGGTTATGATGAATACTAAGAATCTATTGGCAGCTTCTCAAACGAGAAGGCAATCAGCTGCTCGTAGAATGATTTGAGAATGTCAATAGAGGCAGATCAGTGCTAATATTTGACAGTTCGAGCCAAGGTAAATTCAAGCGGTCTTTGTTATTGATAAGCAGTCACATTGAATCAACACTTGCTGCAAATTTGTTTCTATTCATTTAATACTGGTGTACTCTCCTTGCTATCTCAATATCACCGAGCTTTAACATAAAGTCTTAAAATGAACAACACATCTGCTGCTAATGTCAGCCGAACAAACGACCATAGATTATCCGAAAATGCTCCCTCCAAGGCAGAAGGCATTGCATGGTGTACTGCATTTATATTGACATTTGTTTTAACTGTCGCGGGAAACTTACTCACGATTATTATTTTTACGAAGAGCAAAAGTAATCGTAAGAAACATGTGTTTCTACCTGTCAACATGGCATTTGCTGACCTGATGTTAGGAGCTGTAGCTTTACCTCTATATATTTACCATGTCGGCTTTACTTTCCACCTGTGGACCATAACGGAAAGTTTTACGAGCAAGCCTCTCGACATTTTCTTCATGATAGTTGATACAGCCTTCGCGCAAGCGTCACTTATCTCTGCCGCCTTCATATCCTGCGAGAGATTTTACGCCGTATATTGGCCGTTTAAGCACCGAACTTTATCAAAGCGAGCGTACGGCATTATCATTTTTGTTGTGTGGATACTCGCTCTCCTTGCTTCTGCGATCTGGACAGTCTTAACCTTCGTATTTACTTTCTCGCCGGCTACGACTTTTTTGGCGCCATATGTTTTGATTCTCATTTTAATCATGTGTGGATGTAACCTTGCTATTTGGAGAAAGTTTCAAAATGGAAGTGTCTCCGCTTCACATCAGCAAAACAGAGACTTGCAAAACAAGCGCTTAACAAAGACGTTGCTATTTGTATCTGGCCTTACTTTGCTGGCTTGGCTGCCTGTAATGATATTGAACTTTCTGATCTTTGTTTGTTCGGTACCTGTTCATTGGAAACTTTATCACATGGTAAACCTTTTCAACTACTTCAACTCTTTGATCAATCCAGTTGTTTATGCATTAAGAATTCCCGAGTTTCGACAAGCTCTTCATTCATGTTGTTTTGGTAAACAGCCAGCTCTAAACACGACGCTTGACAAAATTACGAATGAGAGGACAGGAACAACTGATATCAGCCATGAACTGGCGCTTAAACATCAAAATGAGATGGATACCGCATTGTAAATCACGTCAGTTATGTTTAGCGCTGATGTTTTTTTTTTTATCTTTGAAATTTTTCTCTTTTTTTTTTCTTTTTTTTTTGCAATACAGTTGAAAATACATTGAAGTCTTACGCGAAACACAAGTAAATTTATCTTGTCGGGAATTTTTGTCGAAAGCCTAGTAATACTTTGAATGATGATGATAATGATGATGGTGATGAATCTATTTCCAATAGAACAATCCAATGTCTCCAATAGCCCTCCAAAAATAATTCACTTTCTTAGTGACGATTGCCTTGGATCATCCTCGATTTCAGTTGTTAGAAATCGAAGTAAAAGTATTCTATACATGCGTATGGTTTCATGTTTCTGTTTATCTCGATTAACATTTAATTTGATGATAAAAACGGTTGGGTTTATTGTAGTAAAGTGTAAATAAAAATAATGTTCCAAACTACCGCTATAAAGTTTTATGATTGTCATCTGGAAGCTTCTTAACACCTTTTCATATGTATATTGTTATACGTCTCAATAAATTAGTATAGTTTATCGGTGCACTTTTGGGATGTTGGCGGTTATGCTAATGAACTGAACGGTTCATGAGTCATGGTATTCAGATGTGTTTCCAATTCGTGTGATGCAGGGAAAATAAGCTAACAAATCGGCAATCAATTGCAGGCAAGGGACTGTGTCTTTAAAAACAGATTCGCCAATCGTTACCGGTTAGATTTGTTGTCTTGGTGATGAAGCAGCCTGAACCTTCTTCAGCTGAACACGTGACTGCAGCGTTTGACTCAAGAGGAGACAGAAAATGATCCGTGGAATCGGTTTTGGCAGTCTCAGAAAAACGCAAAATATAATAATAATTTTTATGGTGTGTTTATGCTAATTCAAACGGCCACTGTAATGAGCAAAGTTCCAGAATATTGTGATATTCCCTTATTTTTGACGCTCCTTGAAACATTTTATACGAAGACATATCACGCAGGGATACGCCGGTTTCTAGTTATGGTCGAGGTAACCGTGAGTGAGATTTGATGATACACAATGTTTGGTGAGGAATTGATAAATAACAATGTTTGACACTGGAAAGAAACTCAACATGGACGTTTTACATATATATGATAAAGAGTATAACCAACGCACCGGCGATAAATTTAAGAGGAGTTTAATTTCCACGCCATTACCAGTGGTTTCTAAGTAAAGTATTACGAACATAATAATTCTTTTTTTTTTTTACGAAGAAAAACGTTTTTGCAAGAAACATTTGTTTCTACCCATTCATTTGCTGACCTGTTGTTGAGAGCCACGAGTTTACCTTTTTTCATTTAAGATGTCGGCCACGAATTACCTTTTTTCATTTAAGATGTCGGCGGCTTCGATTTTCAGCTGTGGACCAGACGGATCGGGAACTTAGATAGCAACAAGATGAGGAGTATCTTCCCTTCTCTACCAGTTACCTTAAATAATACGCATACATTGGCGGCTTTTCGAATGAAGAGGCTACCAGCTGTCTAAAGGTTGATTGGAGACTACCAAGAAGCACAGTTATTAAAGTTTGACAATTAGAATTCAATTTGAATTTAAATGATCTCTACCATTCACTGCAGCTGAAGTCCAGCTTACAGCACATCCCTAATTGTTCGGCGAACGGAAAATTGAAGGAAAACACGACGATTGCTGTAACTTAATTACTTCCTATGCAATATATACTGCGGTTCTTTTCCTTTTTATCGAGTTTAAGTATAAACTGGCAAAATGAACAATACATCTGCAGCTAATGTCAGCCAAACAAACGATCAAAGTTCATCAAAGGATGCTACCTCCAAGACAGAAGGCATCGTATTCTTCAGTGTATTCATATTGACTTCTGTTTTAACTGTCGCAGGAAACACGCTAACAATTGTTCTTTTTGCGATGAAAAGAAAAATTCGCAAGAAGCATTTCTTTCTAGCTGTCAACTTAGCGTCTGCTGACCTGCTGTTAGGAGCTGTGAGCTTACCTATATACAGTTGCTATGTCGGCTTCAATTTCGGACTGTGGACCCTAAAGGAAAGCTTTAGCACCCTTAGGTGGCTCCATATTCTCTTCCAGACTGTTGATACTTTCCTCTCGCAAGCCTCACTTATTTCTGCAGCCTTCATATCCTGTGAGAGATTCCATGCCATATATCGGCCGTTTAAGCATAAAACATTGTCAACGCGAACATACTGCAATGTTATTTTTGTATTGTGGCTCCTTGCTCTCCTTATTTCTGCGTTATTGATTGGATCAAACCTCCTTCTTTCAAACAAACACACCGGGATAATTTGGGGGCCATATATTTTTATTCTCATCTTTATCATATGTGGCTGTTATATTGGTATCTGGAGAAAATTTAAAAGTGGAATTGCCTCTGCTTCACATCAGCAAAACGGAGACTTGCAAAACAAGCGCTTAACAAAGACATTGTTATTTGTGTCTGGCTTTACTTTACTGGCTTGGCTGCCTTTAGTCATAACAAACTTCTTAATAATTTTGGGATTTTTACCTATAGATTGGAAATTTTATCCCATGGTAAACCTTTTCAACTACTCTAACTCTCTTGTCAATCCGGTTGTTTATGCATTGAGAGTTGCCGAGTTTCGACGGGCTCTGACTTCTTGTCGTCTCGGAAGAGAGCCAGCTTTGAACACAGCGCTTCCTACCATCAGGAACGAAAGGAACGGAACTAGCGTCTGAACAACCAGATATTATATAATTATGTCCAATAATTTCTTTTCTTTATTTTTCCTTTTTTTTTTTAGGACACTAAGAATCCTTTGAAACCGGGAAGACATGTGGTCTTGCGCAAAACACAGTCTAAAATTTCTTTAGCTCAGGAAATTTTAATGAGAACCTGGTGTTACTACCACCATTATGATTATGATAACGGGAATGATGATTTTATTTCAGTGCAAACATACTCAGTGACGCTTGATTCATTCGCCATTTCAGCTAAGACACGTTGGAAAATAAATTCATTGTAGACGTTTTGGGAAGAGTCGGTCCTCAACATATGGTTGAGCAGATGTGCCGCGAAGGAGAAAAAAAAAAGTCACAATGCAGCTAATGTATTCCTAATCGGTCGGTGATCAGTATAGGGAAACAACATATATAAATTTGCGGTATGTATCCTGCAAATTTGAACGATACAGTACAAATTTCGTACCAGCCTGAATTTTTTTTAGGCCTTATCTTCACTGCTATTCAAGTAGTGTTTATCACTGCGAAGATAACTTTCATATTCACGTCTTAATCCGCAGTTCAAATATATGACATATATGTTATTTGCCGGCTGGGAGGTCTGTATGGTGAAAAACTGTGACTGAGGTCTTGAAAATACTGCCCGAGGCCGTAGGCCGAGGGCAGCATTTTCAAGACCGAGGTCACAGTTTTTCACCATACGGACCGACCCTTAGCCGGTAAATAACATATTTATTGTTTTTAAACTTGACGAAATTCTTTCGGAAAGAACCCGAATAATTTATGGCTGTAAATACGGCAAGATCTTCCATAAACTGAACAATTTTTGAGTGAGTAAATGGTAGTTAGAATAGAGGTGATGCAAACTAAAGAGAGATGCCTCAACGAAACATTTCCATTTCCGTAACGATAAAGGTGATTTAAAAGGCTTCCAAACAAACTTTGAAACATTATTTTTACAAGCATCTGTCACAATCTGACACCTGTCAATTAGAGAGCGCGCAAGAAAAAAAAAGCGTAGGAACATTTGAAAATCAACAGAACTAGTTTGGCAAGGACTGTCACGACAATGTTTTCTTCAAAATCAGTTAATGATCTAACGGAAAGTATTATTCACTCTCATCGACCATTCATTTATGTACGAAGATTTACCTCTGTCATTAAGTAGACGGCGAGGAAAGTAATTGTGAGTAAATTCAATTTTTTTTATTTTGAAGTTGTGAGAGTTTGCTCGTTTGTTTGCTGTAATGGCGTGTGTAACTCTGGTCTTTCCTTCACAAAAACTAAATTCGAACGGCACACTCCAACGGGACACAAGGGAATTTAATGCGGCCTTTTCTCAAAAAAATTCCTTCAATTTCTGTTGAGCAATTTACGGTACAAATGTCTAAATTGAACGGAATTGGAAAGACTCACCGGGAGCGTATATTTGTTGTAGAACTTAAATTAAAACTTCGCTCGCTCTTTCACTACGAACAAATTGCTCGAGAAAATTCAGATATTAAATGAATGAAAGTTCCATCGTTCAGTTTAACTGTAACCAAATACCTCACGTTTCAACTTTCTGGGTAGTTTTTGTGAACGATCAAAATTAATTGCAGACGGTTTTTAGGCCGCTTGTCAACCAACGTAATGACACTATTGTTTATACAAATTCATTTTGAAACCAATATTTTTCTGTCAACCAAAGTGATTTGATAGAGATAAAAGAGAGGATTCATAAGTTATTTATCGGCTTGAGGTAGTAACCGACGTGATTAAAAATACTGCCCAGCCGGAAAACAAGGTATATTTATGAAAAATGACAACGAAAGTTGGGATGTACTCGGCGACTCACGAAAGCGTTACCGTGGCCCGTGGGCAGAGATAGGAAAATATTGACCGGGTAAAGAACCAATCAGATTGCAAGATTCGTTACCGTGCCCTGTAAAAAAACAATAATTTCATATATTCACAGCCGTTAATGCATCTGCTGCTGATATGAGTATCAGAGAAGATCTTAATTCATCAAAGGATGCTCCCTCACAGGCAGACGGCATAGCATTCTGTGATGTTTTTTATGTTAACATTAGTTGTAGTTGTCGCCGGAAACCTACACGTGATTATTCTTTTTGCGAAGAACGTCAATATTTGCAGGAAACATTTGTTTCGTGGCCCTTTGACATGGCATTTACTGACCTATTGTTGGGGGCTGTGGGTTTACCTATATGTACACTTACCAAGCTGGATTAAATCTCCAGTTATGGACATTAACGAAAAGCTTTGAGAGCAACATACCTCTCCATATTTCCCACATGA